GGGTCCCGGGGCTCAAGCTAGGGCCGGGCGGGCCGCGCACGCTGCTCTCCAAACGCTGGACTCTCGCGGTGTGAGCCGGCCCTGGGAGGTGGAAGCGTGTGACCTTCCGGAAGATGCTACCCTGGGGAATACCAATCCTTATCCCTCTCTCTCCTACTCTCCCCCACTCCCCCTTTCCTTCTCTCCCTTCCTCCCTTCCTTCCTCTCTCCCTCCTCCGTTTCAGCCCTCTGCCCCTCTCCCCTAGCTCTCTTTTCCAGTTGGATTCCATCCACCCCCCGCCCTGCATACCTGCCACCTCTTTCCTCCTCCCTCCTTAGCAAAAACCCCCAGGGTGAAGGCCGGGCAGCGAGGGGAGGGCAAGGTTGTGCTTTTGGCTAGACTGCAGTGGTTCTCTAAGTCGAACATGCATCCGAGCCTCTAGGAGGGCTAGTTAAAATGCAGATTGCTGGACTCTGCGGAGCTTCGGATTCAGTTATGGCTGGATGGGATCCAATCACTCGCTGGTTCCCAGGAGCTGCTGATGCTCGAAGGAGTCCTTTCCTCCTGCTGCTGCTGTTGATGGCAGATCCGGTCTTGCTTTATTTTTTATTTATTGGACAATTCTTAGGCTATGACCAGGTACCAGGAGGGTTGGGGACTAGCCTCGAGGAGCCCACATCCTCATAAACAGGGACAGAAATAACTCTTAAACAAGAACAGAAATAACTCACAAGCCGGGCTCGGTGGCTCAGCCTGTAATCCCGCGCCTTGGGAGGCTGAGGTGAGTGGATTGCCTGAGCCCGCGGGTTCGAGACCCGCCTGGGCAACTTGGCGAGACCTCATCTCTACAATAAATCAAAAACGAGCCGGGCGTGGTAGCGCGCGCCTGTAATTCCGGCTACTCGGAAGGCTGAGGCGGAAGGATCGCCGGAGCCCAGCGGGTCGAGGCTGCGGAGGCCGGTAGCGGCCACTGCACTCCAGTCTGGGCGACAGAGTGAGACTCCAACTCAAAAAAAAACATTATTGTTCTACCTATAATATATACATTCTTCACATCCTGAGCCATTCATAGGAATAATGTGTAAAACTTACCTGCAAGGATTTTATTCATTCTGGTGGTCTTAATTAGACACAACTGGAGAATTTCTCACAGTGGCATAAGTATCTTTAAAGTTCACTCCTGCTTTGAGCCACTATGAAAAGGTGAGTTAATTTATGGAAGCTATATGTCTAACATTAATTTACATGTGGTAAAGATTATAAAAGGTTGAAAGAAAGATAGTATGCACCTGATGGATACTAATAGGAACGTGGATTGTGTTTTCTTTTTATGTAAGTTTCAGTAAAATTTTTTGTTTATGCATCTGAGTAATCACCTATTTTTCCTAAAATGTTCTTAAAATCAAAACTGGCTGTAAAGGATTATCAGACTGTTTTACTTAATTTTTTTTGTAGCACTTATTTGATGTTTTAAAGTGAGCTAATGTATGTATATGCATTTTTTATTTTAGAAGCTGAAGTCATTTTTTAAAGAGTATGGACAGATAGAATCTGTACGATTTCGTTCTCTGGTATGTTTTCTCCCCCTTTAAAATTGCATAATATTAAAATATATTACAGTTAAATCAGACTTGTCAACTTCTTGGTATTAGTGAAATGGACGAGTACTTGACTTTCATCTTTTGAATCAATAGGCTCAGATCTATCCCAAAAAAAGAGTTGCTCTTGGTATTGCTTACTCTTGGACTCTGTTAAATAATTTAGTGAGTTTATTTGATAAAATGATATCCTTGTTACCAAAACTAGTGGTGTATTTTGGAGAGTGGATAGGCAACTTTATTTGCTGTGCTAATAGAGTAGGCTGAAAAGGTAATACTGAATAGCATTTCTGGAATCATAGGCATGCTTGTCATATGTCCCACCATGTGCATTCATCATGGGAGGCTGGTATGATTGCTGTTAAAAGTAAAAAGTACTTTTGCTCTGAGCACAGACAAAGTCTTTGGGTTTTTTGGGAGACTCCTTCCAGGCTGGAATGCAGTGTTGTGATCCTAGCTTACTGCAGCCTTGACCTCCTGTGCTTTGGCAATCCTTTGCCTCAATATCTCGAATAATTGGGGCTACAGGTGTACACCACCATGCCCAGCTAATTTGTTTTTTTTGGGGTTTTTTTTTGAGTTGGAGTCTTACTCTGTCGCCCAGACTGGAGTGTAGTGGCCGCTCCCGACCACCGCAGCCTCGACCTGCTGGGCTCCGGCGATCCTTCCGCCTCAGTCTTCCAAATAGCCGGAATTACAGGGATGCGCTACCATGTCCGGCTGATTTTTTGATTTATTGTAGAGGTGGGGTCTCGCCTGCCCAGGCGGGTCTCGAACCCGCGGGCTCAGGCAGTCCACTCACCTCAGCCTCCCAAAGGTGCGGGATTACAGGCTGAGCCACTGAGCCTGGCTCCCAGCTAATTTTTGTATTTTTTTTTGTAGAGATGAAATCTCACTATGTTGCCCAGGTTGGTCTTGAAATCCTGCCTCAGCCTCCCAGGGTGGTGGGATTGTAGGCACGAGCCACTATGCCTGGCCCAGATGAGGTTTTTAAGTCAATTTAGTGTTTAAATTTTGTAGAAGTGAGTGATATATGATTTTACCAACTGAGCACTCTGAACCAGTTATAGCCACATTCTCTGGAGCAGGAATAAGCATCATTTGTATTTGGTTTTCCCAAATGTGATTCTTTTTTTTTAATTGCATGATTAACTTACCACAGTGTATACTCTTGGACAGCATTTTTTTACATAATTAATGTGCATTAGAGAAAATGTTTAATCTGTGTTTCTAATTGCTCTTTCTCATGTGATTCTCTAGAATACAGTTTCTCAACCCCCATACATCATTTTGGGCTGGGCAGTTTTTTGTTGAGGTTGCCCTGTGCATTATATTGTAGGATGTTTAGTAGCATCCATGGCCTTTCCTACTGGATGCTGGTAGCACCTCCCACACCCCAATTGGGACTATCTTTAGGAGTTGCCAGATTCCGCAGGGCCACCGCTCTAAAAGTAGAGATGTCCCAAGGTTTTGACAGTTGCCTTCATTTTTTGGTTGCTTTGTAGTTGTCTTTGACTCTTTTCATTGGCCCGTCCAGCCTAGTTTTTTCCATCACTGCTGAACTGTGGTTTCTTCCTAATGTGAGTCATTCTTTTCTGTTTCCCTCGTCCCATCTAAGTTCTCATCACCTGCTGTCAGAATAGATGCAGAGACCCATTCTGGTTCCTGCCTTCAGTCTTGCCCTCATTTGTCCAGCATACTATTTTATTGTACAGTCTATAACTCTTCTTCCTAAAGCTCTTCTTTCTGGAGCTCCTGTCCACTTTGCTCTTCCCGCATTAAGATTATACTCACACACCCCCACACTCAGGCTTGGTATTACCTTGTCACCTTTGGGGAGGCTGCCCATATTCTCCCCATCCCTGGGCCACTGGTATGTTTGGAGACTCTGCTGTACACTCTGTAGCTCCTGACCTTCATTGTAGTAACAATGTAACTGAAATTGTTACATTGTTTGCCTGCCCCACCAGACTGTAAACTCAGATTACTAATACCCTGTTTGTCCTCCTTGTCCTTGGGTTCACAGCCCTGCACGTTGTGCTCATTAAATATGTATTGAAGTACCTGAACACTTTCTGTTATTCTCACTGTCATGGAAACATGTCCTTACTTCTCAGCCTGACAGTCCTCCAAGGGTGGCTGCACACATGGGCTTTCTTGACTTTGTCCCATTCACTCAGTTCTTCTCTTTGCCTGCATTCCTTCCTAAAGTACCATTTTGCCTACGACACTACTGCTTTTTTTCAGTATGCAGTTAAAATATCACTCCTTCTAGGCTTTTCTGATACTTTATACCATTAAATGATATTTTTTCCCTCTAAATTCTTCTTGTACTCTATTGTCCTATGTTATACTTATTCACTAATGTCAATAACAAGGTATCGATCTTGTACAGAAAACTCCCAGGAACTGTGTTTTGGTGATTGTTATTCACATGTTGATTATTCATTGGGACGTTTTTCGTGTCTTGTATGTTTTTCTGTTTCTTTTTTGAGAGTTTGACTAGGTTAGCAACTGGAGCAGGACAAACTGAGAGGAAATAGTTCAGGGAAAATTTATGTTAATTTCCCTAAATGAGATTTACATTTGTGGATGCTCCTAGATTGTGAACTTGCAGGGTTGATGTCTTTCACCCTGATCTCCTCAGTACCTGTTTGTATTTGACACATTGCTGACAGTCATAGTTGTTGACTTGAATTTCTGCCTCTTTCATAAAGTTTTTCCTACTGACCCCATTTAATCCTAAATCCTGTCTTTGCCTGAAAACAAAATGAGCCTGAATGTAAAGTGGATTCCTATAAGTGTCCAAGTAAAGACCCTACTGATTTTGTTTTTTGCCAACTGGAATATATATACTTTTAAAGATACAGATGTATAATCCCAGCACTTTGGGAAGCTGAGGCAGGAGGATTGCCTGAGCCCAGGGGTTCGAGACCAACCTGGACAACTTGGTAAGACCTTGTCTCTACAATAAATAAAAAAATAAGCCAGGCATGGTAGCATACGCCTGTAGTTCCAGCTGCTTAGAAGGCTGAGGCAGAAAGATTGCTTGAGCCCAGCAGGTTGAGGCTGTGGTGGCCTTGAGTGTGCCACTGCACTCAAGCCTGGGCAACAGAGTGAGACTCCGACTCAAAAAAAATAAGGATACAGGCAAAATAATGTCTTCTTATATTATTTGTTGGTCCAACTAGACTTCTTTTCTTTCTTTTTTTTTTTTTGAGTTGGAGTCTTATTCTGTCACACAGGTTAGAGTACAGTGGCATGATCACAGTTCACTGCTGCCTCAACCTCCTGGACTCAGGTGATCCTTCCACCTCAGCCTCTCAAGTAGCTGGGACTACACGCCTGCACCACCATGCCTGGCTAATTTTTAAGTTTTTTGTAGAGGTGGGATCTCACTATGTTGCCCAGGCTGGTTGTAAACTCCTGAGTTCAAGCGATTCTCCCACCTCAGCCTCCAAAAAGTGCTTGGATTATAGATATGAGCCAGCCACTGGGCCCTGTTAAGACATTTAAATTGTATAGACTGTACAATAAAATACTAGTTTGTAAACACTGCTTTTTTTCTACATTTATTTTCTAAAACAACTTCTTTATCATTTTTTTCGTGTATCTTCAACATCAGTGTCTCCTCCTGACTGTCCTCCTGCTTCTGACACAGTTTGAGATCTCATTATCTTTACTTCCATTTAGGTTTTTTGAGAGTCACTGCCTGTTAAATCTGAGTATGATGCTATCATTGGAAGCACTTATCCTAAGCCAGTAGTCCCTTTTGCATAAAATTAGGACAGTGCTTCTGATTTGATTGTTTCCCTAGAGTTTTTTAATCACAGTATATCAGAGTTGGATATTTAGACTTTATCTAAAATATAATTAATTTGAAGTAATATTTCAGATATTGAATTTTCTTTCTTTTTGTTTCCTCTTAAAAGATTCCAGCAGAGGGAACTCTATCCAAAAAGTTGGCAGCAATAAAGTAAGTTTATAATTGGAGGAAGGGAGTCGCCTTAAACTTTCTTCCTTTTTGGTTAAAAATTGAAATCATTTCTTAATAATTTTATGTTTGGATAATATAGAATGCTTGACTGTTTCCTTGCATCTATATAGCCTATAAATTTGTCATGTTTGGTAGAGTCACAGAATGTATTGTAATTTACTGGAAAATGAGTCATGAGAAATTTTAAGAATGTTTATAGTGTTTGGAAGAGATTAAGAAAGTTTTGTCCTAGATTTTCTTATACAAATAATAAATACTGTATTTTCTAAATTCTAAAGTGTTCCTCATTTTTGCTGCTGGCTAGTCAGGTTTTTCCAGAGAGAATTCATGTTTGCTTCTGCTGATGACCTGGGGTTGCTTACCTGTAATCACTTTACATTCTCTGTTTGAGAGTTTTGGGGACCATACTGGTAATGTGACTTGTTCAATTTTCAGGGGATTTTTTTTCCACCCAGTATCAAGAAGGAGACATGAAAGTCTCCTTGCTCCTTCTTCCCACATGGAAGGCTTATTTCTCATTTACCTTTAGCTTTATATAGGTTTCCTACTAATCTCGCTGTCTGGGGTGTTTTTTCTCCCTGAAATGATGGATTTTTATAGGCAGAGGTGTCTTTATATTAGATACAATAAAATAATGTACTTTGAAAACATTCCTGGGACATTTTAATTTCAACAGTCCCTACATTTTAACATTCATTTTTATATATTTATGAGGGGGGATTCAAAAAACCTGGAATTTATTTATAAAGAATTGTGTATTTATTCTTACATGTTTAAACTTCACTCACCTTCAGAGTACTCTCCATCTGATGCAGTACACCTATTAAGACACTTATTCTGCTGCTCAAAACAGTTTTTGAACTTGTCTGTTTTGATGCCTTTTAGTGTTTCTGCCATTTTTGGTTTTACCTCTTCCATACTGGCAAAACATTTTCCTCTGAGGACTTTTTTCATCTGGGGAAACAAAAAAAAAGGAAGCTCAAGGCAAGTGGGTGAATAGTGAGGGTAGGGCATGAGAGACGTGGTGTTTTGGGTTAGAAACTGCTGAACACTCAGCAGGATATGGGCAGACATGCTATCATGGTGGGAGAATATGTCTCCTGTCTGCCACAGCTTGGGGGATGTCTTCTGTAGCACCACCTTTCACAACAACACTAGCTGGTATGCTGATGCTGATGAATTCCTGAAACCCTTCGCTAGTGGGAAGAACCTGTGCGACGGGGGCCCGCCTTCCCCAAAAAATAATTCTGATTTTTTAAATTTTTAAAAAATTTTTTAAAAATTTGTTATTTTTTTTAAACTTTAGAAAATAATTATTCATGTTTCACTTAAAATCTTCTCAGGTCCTACCAAGGGTCCGTGTACAATGCTTGTTCTGGTCAGCAGTGGGGTGTCTTTGAGGGGTTTGAGCAGGGGCATGATACAGTTAGATTTACATTATACCTGGACTGCTTGATAGCTAAATGAGAGATAGTCTTGTTCTATTAATATTTTCAGAATTCCTTGACTTTTATTTTTTAAATAGTTAATAAACATTTTTTAGAGCAGCTTTAAGTTTATAGCAAAATTGAGGGAAAGGGCAAAGTTTCCATATACTCCCTGTTTATACTCGCGTACCACATCCTGTACCAGAGCAGTACGTTGTTACCACTGGTGATCCTATAACGACACATCATTATTACCCAAAGTCCATAATTTACATCGGGGTTCACTCTTCCTGTTGTTCATCCTATGAGTTTTCATATGTAGGACAGTTTTGTTGCCATAAAAATTCTCTGTGCTCTGCCTATTCATCTATTTCTTTTTTTTTTTCCCCTTTTTTTAATTTTTAATTTTGAAGATGTGGGGTACAATACAGGGTTAGGTATACAAATGTTCATTATGCAGGTACCCTTGTTGATGAGATGCCCCCCCTTCCCCCGGCAGTTTCCCACTACTGCCAATCCCTTCTTATAGTATTATGATAATTGCTCAAGATCTGCTTATGAGTGAGAACATGTGGTACTCAGTCCTTTGTTTCTGTGATAGATCACTCAGTATTATAGCCTTTAAGTTCATCCAAGTTGTTGCAAAGTTCATAATTTTATCCTTCTTTATGACTGCATAATATTCCATTGTGTATATGTACCACATTTTTTTTTAATCATTATTTTTTATTATGATGTTGTGGGGTACAGTTAAGGGTTAGGTACACAATTACGTTTCATTCAAGCACTCTGTTGATAAGAGGTGTTTCTCTGTCCCCAGACAGATATTTGCTACTGTTAATCCCACCTCCCTCCCCCCATAGTTTCCCAGTACCGTCAGTCATTTTCTTATAGTATTACATTGGATGTTCAAGGTCTATTATATGAGTGAGAACATGTGATACTCGGATCTTTGTTTCTGTGA